AACTCCAGCTAATATAAAATAACCCACTTCTCAGACCACCACATATTTTAAGGAACTCCAGCTAATATTAAATAAAATATCACCAATACATATTCAATAAAAATATAACTATATATTAAAATAATATCAATAAATATTAAAGATATCAATAAATATATATTATATAAAGATATCCTCAATGCATATTATATAGAAATATTATTAATACACATTAAATAAAGATAATCAATTTATACTGAAGAAAGACTTATAACATAAAAAAAAACTAGAGGGGCACTCGTAAAGCTCATACCTCCACCTCACAGCTTTGATCATATTCGGCCCTCAAAAAATATGAAAATGTGTCTGTATGTCTGTTGTCATCAACAAACACTGACCATTTTTGGCAGGACAATAAGGAATACTATTTTACACATGTCCACCAAGTTTCATCAAAATCCAATATTTTTTGACTTAGTTACAGAGCAAAATTAGTCTGAAAAATCTGTCCCCATGTTAACAGATTTGAATGTTTTAGATTTTCATGACCTTGACTCTCCAAAAACTAATCACTTCTAAATTGGGTCATAGTCCAAGTGTATACTAGCTTTCGTCGAAATCCATTCAGCAATTTTTGAGAAATCTTGCTGACAAACACACACATACAGAGAGGGATGAAAGCATAACCTCCATCACCTACAATGGTGGAGGTAATGAATAAAGTTCATTCTTACCCTGGTTCATTTCCTCCAATGGTTAGGGAAGGAAGTTCATTTTGTTTCTCAAGTATCTCATTATCTGAAAATATTTTAGTATTTAGTAAAACAACTTTCACTGCTAAAATTTCAAAATGAAATGCTGACATAAGTTCTGCCAGTTGAAAGTCAATATATACTTTTCATTCATTTATATAATCAAGACTAAAAGCAAACTTCTTGGCTTACGAAACATGTCATAATGAATCTTTCCAATTAGCCTACATGTACAACTACATCTATCACCACACCTCACCGTTTCATGGACATTCCTGATCTAAATAGTTAGCTTACATGTACAACTAAATATATCACCACACTTCACTGTTCATAAACATTCTTCATCTAAACAGTTAGCCAACATGTACAACTAAATCTATCACCATACCTCATATTTTCATGGACATTCCGATCTAAATAGTTAGCCTACATGTACAGCTAAATCTATCACTACACCTCCCCTTTTCATAAATATTCCTTATCTAAATAGTTAGCCTACATGTACAGCTAAATCTATCACTACACCTCCCCTTTTCATAAATATTCCTGATCTAAACAGTTAGCCTACATGTACAACTAAATCTATCACCATACCTCATCTTTTCATGGACATTCCTGATCTAAACAGTTAGCCTACATGTACAACTAAATCTATCACCATACCTCATCTTTTCATGGATATTCCTGATCTAAATAGTTAGCCTACATGTACAACTAAATCTATCACCACACTTCACTGTTCAGTAAACATTCTTGATCTAAACAGCACAACTAAATCTATCACCATACCTCATCTTTTCATGGATATTCCTGATCTAAACAGTTAGCCTACATGTACAACTAAATCTATCACCATACCTCATCTTTTCATGGATATTCCTGATCTAAATAGTTAGCCTACATGTACAACTAAATCTATCACCACACCTCACCTTTTCATAGACATTCCTGATCTAAATAGTTAGCTTACATGTATAGCTAAATCTATCACCACACCTCACCTTTTCATGAACATTCCTGATCTAAATAGTTAGCTTACATGTACAGCTAAATCTATCATCACACCTCACCTTTTCATGAACATTCCTGATCTAAATAGTTAGCCTACCTGTATAGCTAAATCTATCACCACACTTCACTGTTCAGTAAACATTCTTGATCTAAACAGTTATCCTACATGTACCACTAATTCGATCACCACACCTCACCACTTCATAGACATTCCTGATCTAAACAGTTAGCCTACATGTACAACTAAATCTATTACACACTCCAACTGTTCATAAACTTTCCTAATATAAACATTTAGCCTTCATGTACAACTAAATCTATTTCACACTCCAACTGTTCATAAACTTTCCTGATCTACATGCATATTTGTGAATTTATGCCTGTATAGATGATTTTCATATAAAAAAACTGAAGCATCATAGTTTTTTAGCTATTCTGATTTATACAAAAATACAGCACACCAATTTTGATCCACCTTGGATGCATTTCAATAAATTAAACTTTTTTTCAGATCTGAAAAACAACTAGATTTGTATATAACATAATGATTTACTTAATTTTAAAAGCATATTTAATGTAATAATATCACACACTTCAATGGAAAATATCATAAAGCATCCTTCAAAAAAAAGTATTTCATTGTTTTTTAATGAAATTCCTTCCAAACATTGAAGCCTTATTAGCATGCACTAAACACACAATCTTTTATTCCAATACAATGCTAATTTCACAGTTTAGAGATAATTTAGATATCTATTAAAATGTGTATTTGTATGAAATGTAAAATCATAGTAACCTGTAGTAGCAATTTGGCAAATGAAAAAAAAAGAAACACATTCTGAATTATCAACTTTAAAAATATCTAAATGTCAAATGTTTGTCTTTATAGGTTCACTAAATAAATAAATAACATATTTACATTAACTTGAAGTAGTTGCTTATACTGATTGTAATGCTCTGGTTGGAGATGTTTCTTTCCATGGCGATTAGCATAAGCTAGTGAAAAACACTTAGCTACCTCCAGGCAGATGTACCAAAACATTATTGGGCAAATATATGAAAACAACATCCAATCAGCTTCTTTCATGCAGTTGTGATAAAATAATACTAAACCAGCTATCTTCAGGCATTCATGCTGAAACATCACTAACCCAGCTACCTTCGGGCAGATGAATGAACACACCATCCACCCAACTATGTACAAGTTACCTTCAGGCAGTTATTCTCAGAGAAATAAACTTATCATCAGCTATAATTTTTCAATTATAAATTTGAGAGATTGTAAGGGTTATAAGCATTATAGAAGAAAATCATAGAAACAAACAAAGTCTGACAAGTTGTTTTCTGGATGTAAATCATTTGTTGTATTCATACAGAATTCACAGTTATTTCAAACTTTAATGAAATGCTAACATTACCATCTTTAAGAACACATCTTCTCTCTTCAAGAAGTCTTTGTTGATCTTCCGAGTCTCTATATGTATAATAAAACAAAAATTGTTCCATTTTCAGGTTATCATAAACAAGATGACAAGATGAAAACCATATAAACATCATTCTTGAATAAATAATATCATATTAAGTTTACTAGTCCACCAAAGTAGATTTTTTTTTACAGTAGCAGATAAACTTTTATATATTCCTATGAACTAAATAAACCAGATCTGTACACGAGCAAAAGCACAACACTTTTGACAGACCGACACTTAAACAGTTCAAAATATGTGGAAATCTTTTATTATATCTAACTAAAAATAAGATACAGAGAAATATTTATTCTAATAAACAAGTATCACAAAAGTTCTTATTTACATAAAATTTACAATAGTTTCAATATAGTTCATAATAACTAACACTAACATTGCTCTTGTGAGATCCTGCCTTTCTCGGTTCTCCATGGTATGTTGTAAAATATCTGCTTCTGTGTATCTAATCTCAACATCAAGGAATTTATTACAGCATTCAAATATGAAACAAATAATATATGAAAAATGTCAGAAAATAAAACATGGTTATTCAAGTTGGCTTAAACTGAACACAACGTTTGTTGCAATTCATTTTTCTAAACAACCAAATAGAAATCTACAGGATCAGAAGTTAACTATGGAAATCAAAATTAATTTTATACAAGAGCAGATCAAAGTTTATTTACTTTTTCCGATGAGCAGAACAAATTAATCCAAAAAATATGTATTTTGGGTGGATTCAAAAGTATTATTATTATTATTTTACCCGAAAATGGTAGCATAACTTTTGTTTCAAAAGTAGGAGAACAGTTTCTGTAGCTGGAGTATGCATGAGAGTATTCTATAAAAAAAACATCCTACTCCTAAAACATTATGTAGGGTGTCCCCACGAAAATTGCACGTACACTTAGGAAGAGTCTCTCCTGACTCAGTTTCTCTAGTTGACAATAACCCCATAAAAATATGGTAGCAGTTATAAAAAAATCACTTTCTGGGAAACCAACTGCATTTATCAATATAGTTTATCTATAACAGCTTAAAAAAAATTGACTTATGTCTTATTCCCCCCCCCCCCACACACACACACACAACATATAGTCTTTCTACTTTTAATACATTAATAACACAGACACATTATTGCCAACAAAACAAAATTATTTCTTGAATCAAATAAGAGCTTTATACCTGTAACATATAAAATTTTATAGTTTAATATAAAGAAAAAGTTATATTTGTGTAAGAAATTAATCCTTAGCTTTTCTTTATTTTTGTTTAAAAACTTAGATTAAACTAAGAACAGTAGAAAAGATTGTGAAATTTCTTACATGGACAATTGAACCTTTTAATCCTATTTAATACAAAACACAACAGTTTACTTACCGATTATTTTACTACAAGTTACAGCTTTTACAGAAAGAAAGAAAATTCTCAAAACATTTAAATACATCATTAGGTTGTTCAATGTTGATTTAAATACTTGTATACTTGAGAATGATTGCACTAGTTGTCAAATGTTGTACCTGTTTTAAAAATTTTCTTCCTCAAAGTAAAAGCAGTAATTTGTAATAAAATAATGTAAAAACCTACTACCATCGTGGGTAGAGTACAGATACCCAATTGTACAGCTTTTTGCTTTACAAAACAAGAAAAATCAAGTATGCTTAAAATCTAGTACATTCAATACACTTATTAATGTATATATTTATCATAAATAGCATTCTTAAGCAAACATGATTCACACTCGAGTAAATCTTGTTAGTAATAAAGTTTTCAATTGGAACAACAACACAAATTAATTAAAGGATACTGTGGCTTTCCATAAGTGGCAGTGTCATCACTGTCTACATTCAGATCTTGATCAACATCATCTTCATTGTTACATTTCCTGGTTTTAAAACCTGATGCTAAAAAAGAACAGCACCTAATCCTTCTGATTTGTATGTGTCAATCTTAAAGTTTTTAATTAGGAGTTGCAGTCAAGTACAACTTTCTGTTGCATTTACAAATTTATTGCTTTGCCTCTGCTTTTATCTCTGTTCAGTTTTATATTTTTGATTTTTTTGTTGTCTTTCAGAATTTGTAGTGCATACTGGAGTTTTATGTATTAGTCTTGAAGAATGCACAAAGGCAGACCGTTTGGTTGAAATAAGAGTTCTTGTATAATTATCTGGAGTGTTCTTCTTTTTTTTTGTAACTTTATCATCAAAATTTGCAATTTTAATATGATGGTAATAAATTTAAGTGCTGAGACTGAGTTAATTCCAAAGTACACTCTGTGCAAGGTAACAGTTTCATTACTTAACTTCCATCAACAATCTCGCAGTAACTTTGTTATTTTCGTCTAACATAATCTATAAACTTTTCTAAAAAAAATCATGAGATTTAAAAATTTCTTAATTCTAGGTCATCAAGTTTAATCTACCTGCAAATCCTCCTTGAAGAAGAGACGTTGCTCTAATCCTTGTTTGACCAGCCCACTCATATTCTTCATAATTTTCATCTCTCTCCACGTCTACTGTCTCATCTTCAAACCCATTATTTTCTCTCTGATCATCCAAAATGTAATGCATTTCAAAAATATATATAAGAAAATTATGCATCAGCTAAGAACAATTGAAATATATAATCCTAATTTTAGGATTCATTTTGAATTGAAAATCACTCGAGTTCTCCAGTCGGAATATAATGACTAGATTACTCGTATTAATTTTAAAAAAATGTATGACAAGATAAAGAAGGAAATATTAGGTTTATTATTAAATAACTATTCACAAAGTTGTAACACTTATACGGGTTTGGGGTAAGTGAGCGAGTTTGGGGTACGTGAGCGAAATGGCGATGGCTGGAGAATGACAAATAGGTTTGGATTAAAGAAATCACAACAATAATAAAAACTAAAAAATCTTACTCTTTTAAATTACAACTGAAGCTTATTTTGCCATCATATTACAATTTATAAACTAAAAAAATTAGTTAAAATAGTGATGGCGGCAAATTATCTGTATTTTAAAACATGGATGAATCCTCAATAGCCGTGGCACTTGAAATTATTTTTGGTAGAATTAGTATAAATTAATATATGAGACGTTTTCTTCCTTTTTATTAGCTATATTTTTGTGCAATACCAAGCGTGGAGCGCGCGTATACCTTATTCGATTTTATTACTCATCAGGATCTCTAACAGCCTACCCTCAAATTGAAATTCTTTTAGGCAGGAGTAGAGTAAATAATCTATGAGATCTTGGGTGTGGTCAAATACATCAATCAAAGGGGTTTGACTTCCCGAAGATGACGGAGCTATGGGCTAAATGTTTGTACTTGAAAAAATAAAATAAAATGAAAAACTTGGAGCCGTTCTACAAGCCGCTATGCTAGGCTAAGTATTTCATGAAGTAAAAACTAGTACGTATTATCCTACCTCTGGTGAGACTTTGTACTACTATTTACCACGAAGGTAGAAATGACGTGAACATTAAGAAATCTTATTTCTTAAATTTTATGCCGTCATCACCCACACAGGCCCGGCACGGCCAGGTGGTTAGGGCACTCGACTCACAATCTGAGGGTCGAGGGTTCGAATCCCCCTCCCACCAAACATGCTCGTGGGGACATTATATTGTGACGGTCAATTCCACTATTCATTGGTAAAAGAGTATCCGAAGACTTGGCGGTGGGTGGTGATGACTAGCTGTCTTTCCTCTAGTCTTACACTGCTAAATTAGCAACGGCTTGAACAGATAGCCCTGGTGTAGTTTTGCGCGAAATTCAAATACACAGATCGTACATCATTAAGTTTACAATCAAATACATCGTTTTAAAGACGTAGTGAATATTCCTGCGTTTTTTTTTTTATAAATTAAGAAATAAAAATCCATGGTTTTACAACTACATCGTCATGCCTCACTGGAGTTAGCCTAGACTGAAAAGTTTTATTACTGTTGTCTACAAAACAACTGTATTAGTCCTAATGTATTTTTAACAATGCAGTGGCACAGCGGTATGCCTGCGGACTTATCACGCTAGAAACCGGGTATCGATACCTGTGGTGGGCAGAGCACAGATAGTCTATTGTGTAAGTTTGTGCTTAACTACAAACAAACAAACACTGCATTCTATATCTAGTCCATTAGGGATTTTTAATAATTTAGAATATTGTATAATAATGGTATATTCCAACAGTATTAATTATAATCATGCTTCCCCAGCTTGAAAAAGACGTACACACCATAACAACTGTTGTATTAAACAACTATACAAGGTACACTGTAAAGTCTATGGGCAGTAAGTGTTGTGATTTTTCTTCGAAACGCAAAACAAAAGTTTTCTGTACGCCTATTTTAGATATTTAGTAGTATTTATAAATGCATATTGATAAAAAAAGATAATTAACTTCAAAGTGCACGACCACTAATAGAATTTATTGTACTACTCTAAGATTGTTTGTTTGTTTGTTTTGAATTTCGCGCAAAGCTACACGAGGGCTATCTGCGCTAGCCGTCCCTAATTTAGCAGTGTAAGACAAGAGGGAAGGCAGCTAGTCATCACCACCCACCGCCAACTCTTGGGCTACTCTTTTACCAACGAATAGTGGGATTGACCATCACATTATAACGCCCCCACGGCTGAAAGGGCGAGCATGTTTGGTGGGATGGGGATGCGAACCCGCGACCCGCAGATTGACTACTCTAAGAAGTTAGCCCCCCAGTGGCACAGCGGTATGTCTGTGGACTTATACTGCTAAAATTCGGGTTTCGATACCCGTGGTGGGCAGAGCACAGATAGCCTTTTGTGTAGCTTTGTGCTTAATAACAAACAACAACAAAAACTAGGAAGTTAAATAACTTTAAAAGTATAAAAATAATTTTAAAAAGAATATAGGACCGGACGTTGCCTCATGGTTAACATGCTCGAACTGTGAATCAGAAGATTCGTGGTACGCGACCTATTGTCACGAATACGCACTTCGCACTTCACTATAATAGTGAGGGCCAAAATTCGACTATGTGATCAGACAAGAGTAGCTCAAGAGTTTGTTGCGGAGTGCTGTTGACTAGCTGCCTTCCTTCTAGTCTTGCAGTTCAAAGCTAGGCCTTACGTAGCTTTGCATGAAAATTCTATAACAAAGAAACAATATAACAAGCAACTTATATTAGAACAGCCCCCCAGTGGCACAGCGGTATGTCTGCGGACTTACAACGCTAGAAACCGGGTTTCGATACCCGTGGTGGGCAGAGCACAGATAGCCCTTGTGTAGCTTTGTGCATAATTAAAAACTCCAAGATATATATATATTAGAACAAGGCCGAAGAAACTTTACCTTTCGCAGGCAACGATCAACGTGCGAGTCGAGTTCTTCCGTCGTTCCCGTCAACGTCTCGCAACACACCGGACACACTACCTCATCTGTTGTTCTCTTCTTTGTCCTGCATGAGCGTACTGTGACAAAAAATTATCTAACTGTTCTTTACCCCACGATGAAAAATAATTACCTACTTAATAACTAAGCTTTTTACATCTAAATATTTTACTAGGTTTAATTTAATGACTAATTTAGGAAAATCTGAATGTTTCTACAGGGTGACTATTTAAAAAATGAAATTAACAGGGAAGTTTGGACATGATACACAGATACTGTTCGATATTCTTTCTATTATACCCAATCATAACAACAAGCGAAAAAAGCTACAAAAAGGATCAACTGAACAGGACAGTCGGTGTCCACTGACCCACGCAATAGCCTGTACTCTGACCCACAGGAGGTCAATAAGTTTAATATGTTTTGGTTTTTTTTTTTACATTTTGTATCATGTTCAAACTTACCTAAATAAAATTGATCATCATCAAAGTACCTGTGTATAATTTTAGTTTCGGAAGAACAGGTAATTTTTAGTAGATTATTTTAAATATAGTAATCTGTAACAGGCCAGCGACTACGTAGTAATTTAGGCCGCGCCCTGCTGTCACTGGAACATCCAAATATTTGACGTCCTACGTCACCTACCCTTAACACCTGGCCCTATTCTGTCGATTTATTTATTTTTTACTAAATTCGTAAGCTTTACACAATCTTACAAATTCAACTTGGAACCAATGAACAAATTCGGGAATTTGGCCAAATTTCTTTAAAACTTCGCTGTTTCAGAGTAGGATGAAGAAGCCGAAATTACCGATATATTATAAAAACAAAAAGCGTATTTTTACAATTTCAAATGAATTGTTTATTTGTTAAGCAAGCTTCCCAGTTGTTCAACGGTAAGTCTGTTGGCTTATAACTCTAAAAACCGGGTTTCGGTACCAGTTGTAGGCACAGCACAGATAACCCATTGTGTATTTTGTGCTTAACGACGAACAAACAAACAAAATTATTACGCAAAAAAACAATATCTATTGGTACCAGTGTTTCAAAAATATGAATGGAACCACATTCAAAACTAGTTATTGGTTGAAAAATGCTCTGTTTTGATAGGCTAACAAAGACGCGTTCAATGGAAATGCATGTACTATTACAATGGTTTATTGTATTACTTCAAGTTCTCTGCCAATACTGAGAAGAAGAAGAAAAGTAAGATGCGGTCTCATTTTTCTAGGTTTTTTATCTTGAATTGCGTTTTCATTTTCCAACATGTCAACCGTATTTCGCAGCGGTTTAATTTTGAAGTTGGGTAGCTCTGTGGATATGTGTGGTTGATTAAATTTCATGTTTATTTCCACACTACATATTCTACAACTTCCACTGCACATCGACACAGCTGTCACAATAAAAAAATAAAAAAGTCGATGTTAGGCCTAACACGTTATGAAATTTGATTCTAGTCTCCACGTGCCACGCATGTGTACTACTACTACAGACGTCGCACCGACGTTTTAACTCTCGTTGTCTCATTAACTTTCAAAACAGATACATAAGGAGTCACCTAGAGCTTACCAATATAACTAAACCGGGAATTAGAGCGTGATACTTATGTATAAAGTGATAACATACACGAACGTCCGCAGAGGTTTTTCCAGGGAGGGGCAAAGTTTTCCGGAGGAGGGGGGGTAAAGTAGTGTGAAATTGTGAATTGAATAAAAGTTTCATATACATATGTTGAATGCATGAAGAAAGAATTGTGTTTCCAATTTTCAAGGGGGGAGAAGGAAGTGCACCCTCTTGCCCCCCCCCCCTCTCCATCCATGCGGACGTTCATGATAACATAATGCGTGAATAAAAAAGTCGACACTTACCTCCGATTCGGTTTCGGCGGTTGCACTGTACCTTCTGGAATATCTGTATTCATAAAAGTTAAAAAAAGAAGAAGATATTACTCGTAAAGACGGGAACAGATACCATTTTCTGATTGTGCCTTCCGTAACAGTTTCAACGTCTTATTTTGATTTATATACAGACACCAAAATATTTACAAAACTAAAGAAAGATAATGATTAATAACACAGAGGTATAGGAGGCAAATTGAAAGTGGGAGTCAAGATTTCTTTGACTGAGCGAAGCGATGGGATTTGAACCATACGCGCACCCATACGGCTTCCCAAATTGAAAAGTGGGAGTTCCGGGCCCTCAGTTTCCCACGCCACTGTAATATACGCTAAACTTCCAACTATCTGATTCTTAAATGGCTTTTTTCTCATGGGTCGAACCTTCAAAGATGTAAACTTTGAATAAAAAAAAATTAATGTAAGAAAACTATCTGGTAAACAAACATTTGGGAACGTACAAGTGCTCCAAAATATATACTTTTATATCTTTTACTAATAGAAATAGATACGACTGAGCTAACATTTATTGACTCGTTTCATTAGCGATATGCTTTTATTTTAAGCGTATCTTATGAATTAGGTTATAGCAGTCATCATTTATGAATTACAAAAATGAAAATACATATCATCTTACCTCCAGACGGGAGTCTAAAAAACTTGGAGAACCTTTTCTTCTGCTGCTTCCTGGAGATGGCGAGTTCTTTAAAAGATACGAAATGCCGTTATATCGACAGAAAAAGATTTATTACAACTTTTCACGAAGCAAAGCAATAATTTTCAGTAACATACGATAATTGGAAAAATTATAGTTATGTTTTTTGTAACCAAATATCTCCTGTTCGAGTACTTTACCTCGAAAAACCAAATTTTGTAAGCTACTTTTATAGGAGTTTGTTGTCATTAGGCACGAACCGTAACTGTTTGACGCAGGCCTAAAATCGAACAGTTTTTAAGAAATTAAAGAAAAACAGATGTAAGAACAACGAAATCGTGGTAATTTGTGGAACAAATTACATTAAAGACTTAAACTTATTTAAAGATATGCTAAGGTTCATTCTAAAGACACAAATTTCACTGGTATTTTAAATAAATGCCTCCTATGTATAACAATACTTTACCACAATCTGTTATTAAAAACTGACCACCCAGAGAAAGGGATAAACTAACTACATTGGTTTGATGTAAGCGAGCGAAACGGTGATGGCTGCTATTTTCGAAAAAATTACAAATAGTTTTGAAAAAATAAAAGTAAACATATCAAACCAAAGATACAACTAAAAAAAACTTATGTTTTTTTTAAATCACAACTAAAGCTGACATTGCCATCATGTTAGAATTTACAAACAGCAATCTCTGGAATACTATAATAAAAATGTATTAAATAAGGGCGCATTTGAAATCGGAGAACAAAATAACGATTAAAAAAGTGTTCTGTGTAATTCAAACAACAACGGAGTAGTATCCTGTAAAACTTCAATACGTCGCTGTTGTGATAAACATGTTACAGGATGAAACCTCATATTCTTAGCTCTGGTCCTAACCAGCACCGAGCCAAAATTCTACCGAACTCAAACATGGCTTTCAAACTATAACTATAGCACGCACGCGTGTGAAGCAAGCCAAAAAATAACCAGTTACAACCATGGGCCAAACATACACGCATGTAAACTTTCTAACACGAGAATAACAAAGAAAATCGCAATGGGGTGGTTTCTTAGTGGAGGGAAAACTTCATAATAAAAAACTTACTCGTGAAGGATGTGCATAAGATTAAAACCCCAAATATTATTCATTTACCCTTCTTTAAAATAACCTGTGTTTAACAATTTAAGTAAAACCATTTTATACATTTACACTTCATTAGATTAACCTGTGTTTAACCATTAAGTAAAATCATTTTATACATTTACACTTCATTAGATTAACCTGTGTTTAACATCCAAATAAAACCACTTTACCCATTTACCCTTCGTTAGATTAACCGTGTTTAACAATCCAAGTAAAACCACTTTACCCATTTACCCTTCGTTAGATTAACCGTGTTTAACCATCCAAGTAAAACCACTTTACCCATTTACCCTTCGTTAGATTAACCG